TTTATGTTTGACCCCTCATTTGCAGTAGACATCGGGGTTTTTTTTAAATCTAAATAAATCGTAGGCTTCAATCCTCCGTAATTAACATCTTTGAGTTGTGGCTTCATCTCATCAATTCATCAGAGCCTGACATTGCGTTCCATGGGACTTACATCCCATTTCATAGTTCTCCTGTCTGTTACAAATAGTAAACTATCTGTGATCGAATATATATTATTTACATGTTGTATCCACTTTGACAAGCATGCAGCATTATATTAGCAGTTTTGAATATAATGTCAACTTTCACGCAGAAAAGAAATTAAGATAAAAACAAATCATTCAGAGTCACATGTTTTCCTATATTTTGTCTTCTCAGATGGAGTGAGGGAAACACTGATGGGAGGTAAGAACAGAACTCAGTTACAAATTGCACTTTGATTTATTTGTTGTTTAATGACGAACACAGCACTATTAAGGCTATGTGGCGGCACTCTGTAACTTATCGAGTCGATCTACGATATTGTGATACAATTGCAGGTGTGAACCAAGTCAGTGAGACTGACCACTTGATCCTGTTAGTGGTCTCATGACAAGCATGGTTTGTTTAAGACCGGATTTAAACGATTTCCTCACCTGACTCCCAAACATTTAAAGTGTAAGAAAACTTCTTTCGTACCTATATGTATCTACGAATGAAGATTGCGTATTTTGTTGTCAATTATTTATTCCACATGTCTTCACTTCCGTTGTTGTCAGTAGCGTAAGTTATAATACTGAAATTAAAGCGGGTATGAAACGTTCTTGGAGACAAACTTATGAGTTCAGAGCTGCAAGTTCACCAGAAAGTAGTGATGCTGTAGTCACAGTGTTAAGTTAAAGACAATGTTGTTTAAACGCACTTTTGGTACCGTCTTAAATCCTGTTGGTTAGGGACAAAAACTGAAATTTACGAAGTCATTGTTCGAGAGTTTGAAAAATATTCCTTTTCCATTTGGCAATCCCGTTAGTTATGTAATGTCGTCATAGAAAGGTGGGTAACGTTCGGTGGAAAAGCAAACCGGTTTGGAGAAATATACTAGCAACATAAAGAAACTGTGCATTGTCAAAATATTATCCCAGTTGATCAGTACGATAACAATGTCAAAGGTACATATAAACTTTAATGGAGGGATCATGAGACCATAACAAGTCGGGAGAATTTCAATTGAAAAGTCAATCACAATGACGTCATGAGTCCACAAGCGGGACAGGGGTCAAATGACCATGTCACAAGCTCAATGACGGGTATGTCCACCATTGGCATTGAGAACAGCAGTGCATCGACGACGCATAGGGCCTTTCAAACGTGCAAGGAAGGCTTGTGGGATGTCACGCCAGATTCTCTCAAGTTCTGTTGCAAAGGTCAAGGACGTTATCTGGCGGATGAGGAAGACGGCGTAGACGTCGATCCATCTCGTCCCAAACCTGCTCTATCGGGGAGAGATCCGGTGAATTTGCAGGCCAAGGCAGTAAGTCACCGTTGTGGTGTTGCAAGAAATCCATAGCAACCCTTGCCGTATGAGGGCGGGCATTGTTGGAATGTTAACACAGGGTCATGACGTTGCAGAAAAGGAATTGCCACAGGTCAAGAATCTTATCCCTGTAGCCCACACCAGTTAAGTTGCCTGAACAATCACCAATTGAGTTCTTTGGCGTGCTGTTATTCCACCCCAAATCATCACGGAACCACCACCAAAGCGATTCCTCTCCAAGACACTGGCCTGTGCATAACGTTCTCCCACGTGTCTATAGGCACGTTGACGTCCATCACTATTGGAAATGTTAAACCTGGACTCATCTGTAAAAACAACATTTCTACACCAAAACAAGGGTCTGCAGACATGATTTCTGCACCACATTCGGCGAGCTTGTCGATGACGTTGTATCAGGATAGGCCGTATGGCGGGACGTCGTGGTCTGATCCCGTGATGTCGTAAACGTTGTCGAATTGTGTTGGGGTGGATACGGCGAAGTCCTGGGATGGTTCGGCAGTCATCACTGCAGTCTGAAACCTGTGGCGAAGATGGGTCACCCTTATCCATCTGTCCTGTCTTGGCGTTGTTACACGTGGACGTCCAGAACGTGGCCGATAGATGACGTCATTTGTGTTCTGGTAGCGTCTCACCAGTGCAGAAATGGTGTTCCGGTGGCAGTGAAAATGTGCAGCCACTTGTCGTTGAGACATACCCCCCCATGGTCCCTAGTATGGTGATCTACCTTCTGTTGTTGGCGATCTATAGCCTGTTTTTATATTGTATTGTCCCTATAGTGATATTAGGTTTAAACTTTCCACGCTAGTTATAATTCTATTTGTGATATTCTAGTTGTTTTACTGTCCTTCGTCGACAGGTTTTTATGTTATACATATATTCCACTTCAAAATCAAATACGTTCTCGTCACGATATGGCTGAAATATTGCCGATGTGAGGTTAAATAATAACTCACTCACTCACTGAGACATTCCACCACGGACCATCCCAATGGCCACATGACGTTGTGCAGGCGTGAGCCCTGGCATGCATGTTGGATACATGTCACTAATCTCTGAGTTTAAATCCTTATGTGTCTACAGAGGTTTGATAAATTTAGATTGTAAATCTGTGTATGCACAGTTTCTTTATGTGCCTAGTATATGTAACGAGACCAGAACAATATCTAAAAATGAATTTTCTTTGAGAGGCATTATAGAAGTTGTAAACTTGAAGGAAAACCAAGTTTGATGGATAGTCAACTTCTTTATTGCAACGAATGTGACGTGTTGGTGTAGGTACTAACACCGTTATCAAGCAAGTGATACAAAAGGTTGTAACATGGAGAATATATACATAGCTGCATAGTGTGTATATACAATTGACAAGGTTGATATACATTGGATTGCTAATTAGTGATTTGAGCAGAGTAGGTTCATGTACGAAGTGATAGTGATTAAAACAATATGGAGAATGAGTTGATACAATAGATGAGTTGATGTACACTGAGATGGTAATCGTGAGTTGAAGAGAGTAGCTTGATGTACACTGAGATGGTAATCGTCAGTTGGAGAGAGCAGGTTGATGTACACTGAGATGGTAATGTGAGTTGAAGAGAGTGTGTTGATGTACACTGAGATGGTAATCGTGAGTTGAAGAGAGTAGCTTGATGTACATTTTAATTTGTATTGATTACAATACACAAAAAGGTGGCACAGAAGCCATTTGAACGAGGTATGGGTGGATTATTGGTGATCTTTAATTAGGTGGTGATAGGCTGAGGGGACAAAATAACCTTGATCCCGGTTCATGGTGGGGTTGAAGCGTTGGATTTTTTTGGCTTCAAGAAGTTTCCTAATCTTCCTGATCGGTTGATTTCCAGGATGTGAATGGTGTCCCAAAGGATGGCATGGTCACGGTTGGCTTGGGTGTGGTCGGCTATGGCAGATTTTGAGCGTGTTTTTTTCTGGACTGAAGTTTTGGAATTAAAAATGTTAAATTAAAAATGAATTTGTTAAGGATATGATAATAAACAGAATAGACGTGATTACGGAAAATGTGTCACATGTATAGATGTCATTCGTGACACCCCCCTAACCTCATGACAGATTCAACGATTGACACCTGCCATCCCCCAACTCCGACCTCCACCTCAATATATACTGAGTCAAAAAAGAAACTTCACATTCCTTCTTCAGGGCACTATAAAAGAACAAGAGATGGTAAGATGGTTAAATTGTTATTATTTCATAGCTGAGATCTGTGTGATGTACTAGATACACTGACAGTGCCATAATCAGTTCCATTAGGCTACACCGCCGTTCCAAAACATGGGTATACAGAATGTCAAGTCACAAGAATAAAAATGTGAAATTTCTCAGTTCAATAACGTGTATGGCCGCCCCGCGCATTCACCACTGCCAAACACCGTCTCCTCATCGACTGCCTGATGCTTGTGAACACGTAGTTGGGGATTCTGCGCCATTGCTCTTGCAAGGCAGCGCCAAGTTCCTGCAAATTCTGAGGTTGGTTCCTAAGACCACGAAGCCTTCTCCCAAGTGCATCCCAAACGTGCTCTGTTTGATTAAGGTCAGGGGACCTCGATGGCCAGTCCATGACGTTGATTCCAGCGTTTTGAAGGAAATTTCGAGTCAACATCGCGGTATGTGGCCGAGCATTATCATGCTGGAACGGTAGACCTGGGCCATGAGCCGCCATGAAAGGAACGATTTCAGGGGTGAGCACCTGGTCGCGGTAGGCAGCAGCTGTGAGGTTTCCATGGATGACCAGAAGTCGGGAACGGTTGTTCCAACAGAAAGCACCCCACGCAATGCAACTTCCGCCCCCGAATCTGTCGACTTCCTGTACACAACATTGGGCATACCGTTCACGACGTCGTCTCCAGACTCTATGCCTGCCGTCCGCGAATCTGAGGGTAAACCTAGATTCATCGCCAAAGATGACTCGATTCCAATCTCTCTGGGTCCATTGGAAGTGACGTTGGGCCCACAGCAGACGTTGACGTTGATGAAACGGCGTCAATATTGGCCCACGATATGGACGTCGAGAATTGAGATTGGCAGCCCGCAACCGATTTCGAATGGTCTGTGAGGACAGTCGACCTCTAAACATCTCAGCCCTGGTTCGTGTAACCCGGCAGAAATATGTCACGTAGGTGACGTAGGACGATTTGACGGTCTTCTGCTCGTGACGTCAAACGTGGACGACCCGACCTTGGCGATCAGAAGTGGTGCCGGTTTGTTGTAGACGACCTCGCAAGTCATACACAGTACGACGGCTGCATCCCATTGCTCTTGCGACGTCAATAACGTCATTTGCACGACGAATGGATGGGTTTGAGTGGGTTTTGCTAACGTTTTTTCTAGAGTCGAAAGATAGGGATCCCATTTCGGATACATAGATGTATCATCAGAGAAAAAATATTCATTATTTTTCAAATTACATTTTGTGAAGTTTCTTTTTTTGACTCAGTATAGTTTTCACCTGTCCTTGATCGTCGCCAGAGTGACGCTACATTCATAAACATTTTTACGCTGATGGCAATGTTCATCTGCAATCACAGTTAACTGTATGTCATACTATTCTCCTCAGCGAGCACTGAAGACTCGTGGACATCTGACAAAGATCATAGAGGTGAGATGGAAAAAAAACGAAATAATCACAGCTTATGATTATTTGTTAAAGGTGCAAAGAAAACAGATGTGTTTCTATTGAGAGTAGGACATGAAAGGAATGTCACGTAATTGCGTCTCCTAGTCGTGAAGTCTCCAGACATATTTGTTGTTCATCACATTTTAACATAAAAATGACGCAGCCTAGAATGTGCATGGGCTTTCATACCCAACACATTAAGTTGATATTACACTATAAAACTGAAGTATTGTGTGAAGGAGCATTAACTTAAGCCCATAGTTACTTTCCTTTGTAACATCATTAAATATCACGTGACATGTTATCAGCTGTTCTTTTTAAGAATGAACAATATCCAAATTTCAACACAGGGTTACATCAAAGGACATGTGTGGACACCCCGCTCCATAAGGCCGTCATTGATGGGAACCTCGATACCGTGAAACAGGTCATGAGTGGGCATACAATAGACGTCAACACCTGAGGTTTGTTTGGACTGACACCATTGATGTTGGCTGCAGTGAGAGGGCAGAATGACGTCTTTGAACATCTTCACAAGGAAGGAGCTGATATGACACTAACGGATGGGGATGGTGACCACATTCTTAGCATTGCCTGTGTCGGGGGAAATATTGACATTGTAAAATATGTGGTCTCAAAACAACCTGAACTTATCAACAGAAAGCGAAACGACGGAAGAACTTCCTTGATGTGGGCAGCATGGCATGGGCAGAAACATATATTTGGTTATCTGCTGGGTAATGGAGCTGACCATATATCAATGGATAGTGATAGGGACAACATCCTACATTATGCCTGCCATGGAGGACACATTGGAATCGTGGAGAGCGGGTTCGATCCCCGGCCGCGTCATACTAAAAGACGATTGCACAATGTCATTTAGAAAGTGGTCAATTGTAACATATGTTATATTTGGGATTACGCTTTCTTAGTAAAGTACAAATTCTAAGAAATATAACATATGTTACATTTGACCATTTTCTAAATGGTATTATGTAATCATAGCCGTGCCAAGTCACACTTATCAGAGGGGTACACAAAGTCCGCAGTCTAGACTACCAGTTGTCCGACTTCCATTTTTGTGGAAGTCGCGGTAACTGAGCTGGTTAGGCTGCTGACTTTGTGTGCTGGCGACTAGGTGCCTGACTCTGAGGGTGTGGGCTCGAATCCCGGATGGGACTCAACGCAAACAAGTACCAGAATATGTACTTTACTGAGAAAGTGTAATCCCAAATATAACATATGTCATACCAAAAGACGTTAAAATATGGTGCATGTTGGTCCCTGCCTGGCCGTCGGAATTAATGTGTAACAAGGACTTGTCAGTCTGGGCTAGTACAAGCAGCCACACATACATGCGCATGCACGTCGTCATATGAGCGAAATATTCTTAAGTACGACGTTAACCCCCATTTCACCACACCTCTGACATTGAACCGACACACTGGAATACTAGTTATATTGTAACACGTTTGGTAACTTTGTAGTTGAACCTGTCCTCCGAGATATTTGTCTGTACTCTTTTCACTGACATTTCAACTTGACCTATGTCTACCTGTATATATCACCATTTGTGACATTTCATTTTCACTATCAAGTGATACGTGCTTAAACAAACACACCTGTATATACGTGTCGAGAACATTGGCAATGTTTTCAAGCAATCACAATAACAACATGCAGGCTTTAAGCAGAACTATTCTTATGTTTCAGTATTTCTTAATTCTATTATATGCAAATATTTCTATACTCGAAATGTTCGTGTACTATTGTTCCTCTTCTTATTTATTTGTTATTCCTTTTTGCATCAGGGGCGGTGGGGTAGCCAAATGGTTAAAGCGTTTGCTCGTCACGCCGAAGACCCGGGTTCGAATCCCCAAATGGGCACAATGTGTGAAGCCTATTTCTGGTGTCCCCCCGCCGTGATGTTGCTGGAATATTGCTAAAAGCGGCGTAAAACCAAACTCAGTCAGTCAGTCAGTCTTTTGCATCTGGTTATTAACATGTTATTTTGGTTGTTGTTAATATGACTCGCCAAACGAGAGGCCTTGCCAATTGTTTTCTTTGTTACACATCTCCTATAGTATATATATAGTTGTTATTAGAGCTTGTATATGTATTCTGAGGTTATTAGGGTTTGTATATCCCCACTTGCTGTAATACCCCAACGCTGAGTCGCGATCACATCTTTGTAGGTTTGTGAACTCTACATAGCCAGATGTTTGATTTACGTGTGTTGAAATATGGAGCTATCTTTCAACACCAGCAATCAATGTATTATGTTTAAGCTCATCGAATATTTCACTTTTGTTTCACAATTACATTCCATAACACCTTATTATTCTACTTAATTAATTAGCTGTACATGTGGATCTCCATGTATTGTGTTACTAGGAATATTCGTTCTGTATCAGGCCAATTGCTACATGTAGATACCTGCCTATCTGTGTCTTCTTGGTACATTAGGTAGATTAAAACAACACATTGTACTTGTGTTAGGAGTCATTTTTACTTGAATACTTTAATATATTTCATACCAAACGGTGTTAAAACCTGGTACTTGCTGTTATAGTCTGTTTGGCTCAGAATCGGACCGATGAATTGCAATCTAACTCGAAAACAACTAAACATAGAATACTATACTTCTTTTTTTTGGTTTGTACCTTGCATATTTCATCTTTACGCTGACTACATATATAATGATTATGAAGAAACATTGCTGCAAGAGTGGCTTTCAACGCGTGTATAGCGGTACTGTAAAACGAGGAGTGGGGAATCAGCTCGCTTGGTAGAGGTACCGCCAACCCACACAAGACACAGGACCTGGGAAAAAACAAAATCTCAGTTTATTACCCAGTCCCAGATTCATTACACATCATCAATCTGCGGCTGAATATGTAGAACCAAGTTAAATAGCACGTTACAATCATTTCTGGAAGTACACATATACGAAAAGCATTTAGGTAAATATGATAGCGATTCATTACACAAGATACATACTACATAACTCACGATACTTATCCCATACGCGATCACGTTAACAGAACTGGCATAAACTATTTGCAGCAGTAGAACAGTGGGATTGTTTGGAATATACACACATTATTGTCAAGTTTTTCAATTACCATTATTATTAACTTGAAAATATTGTTAATATCATACAGTAACTATTTAAAATAGTAACGTTTTACCTGTGTGATTAAACAATTAGTTTATTAGTGAGCTACTAGGATTTGTGACTACCTGCCGTATATATTTGATACATATTCTAGCTATCACTGATCTCGATTGTTGTTCAAACTGACGATGGGATTGTGAATTACATCTGGCTGTCTCGACAGAGTGATACCATTTAGTTTGACCGGAGCATTGATGATACAGGTGTACAATAGATGACAAGTTGCGAGTAGGCCACGAATGTATAGGTGAATTTGACCAACGTGGAAAATAAACATAACCGTGAATACAGATAAATGTACTTTGATTCTGCTTAACACCATCGGTACAGCAGAATAAGAGTTACTGGTCCCGGGTTATGTCCGATGCTCATGTCAGTATGGCCCTTGGTAGGTTTAAGATAGTAGTACAAAGTCTGCTAGTATTTACATTTTCCAACTGAAAATAACGTGCATACTGTTTGTAAAACCTTCATAATGTTCCCAATGTTGATAGTATCATCCACATGTCTCAGTTACGAACATCACCGAAATGTTAACGACAATTGATAAAGGGAAGTTCAACTTTACCTTTCTTCTTTTCATGTACCTTCGAATCCAGTTTGCGATTGCCTGTCACTCAAGAATACATTAATATTATGTGCAATCATAAAATAACGTTTGAACTGTCATTTGAAAAGACGTTGAAATGTAAATGTCGCGGAAATAACTATTGTGTTTAAATTAATTGAAATTGTGAAATGATCTTATCACCACATTGTGTTTTGTCTGCTCTATTGGAACTGTTTCATAAATAACTTGGTATAACTGCTTGACATTGATCCGTCAGTAATGATGACAGAACCAGCTGAACTATCTCATGTATACAGAACTTGGTATAACTGCTTGACATTGATCCGTCAGTAATGATGACAGAACCAGCTGAACTATCTCATGTATACAGAACTTGGTATAACTGCTTGACATTGATCCGTCAGTAATGATGATAGAACCAGCTGAACTATCTCATGTATACAGAACTTGGTATAACTGCTTGACATTGATCCGTCAGTAATGATGACAGAACCAGCTGAACTATCTCATGTATACAGAACTTGGTATAACTGCTTGACATTGATCCGTCAGTCATGATGACAGAACCAGCTGAATTATCTCATGTATACAGAACTTGGTATAACTGCTTGACATTGATCCGTCAGTCATGATGATAGAACCAGCTGAATTATCTCATGTATACAGAACTTGGTATAACTGCTTGACATTGATCCGTCAGTCATGATGATAGAACCAGCTGAACTATCTCATGTATAAAGAGCTCATGTCCGTCGATTTGTTTATGCACTGTCATACATTCAGGCTTTAGTTGGGAATACACTGACTATCGACCGCTCTACAACAGATATTCTACCATGGCTACGTGATATGCTCGATTTTGATTTGTCAATCAATAAAATTAGACGCCATCAATTTTGGATTGAAAATTCGTCTGATTTCATGACCGCTTCACTGCGCACGTATACAACACTGCCGCTTCAGCTTGACCACCAGCATGACTAATATCAACACAACAGACGTGATGGAAATGCTGATAAAACATTTATTAAAACTCGAAAAATACAAATATTATATGATTTTTCCTCCACAAATATTAGGGAACCTCACTATCATATAACCGTCCATAATAAAAATATTCAAACTCAATTACAATACACAGCCCCAAACATAAACAAACAATATCTAACATGTAAATCAGAAAGCCTTGTAAATTTCATCCCTATCTATACAAAATGTGCAGCAAATTCTTACTAAACATGTACCTACCTGGTAAATGGTATATTTGTTTCTGTGTAGAATCATAAGAATGGGAAATTCGCAAGATAACGGTCAGGCGAAACACAAACCACCAGAATTCTGCCCTCTGCCAACTTCCCCACAAGGCTGTCACTGCTGGTGATCTATGTTCGCACACTTTGACAAAAGTTTGGCCACAATCCAGTCCCAAAAGATGAAATAAATGTTCCAAAGAATCCCAAATTGGTCGCTACACGTTCGGTTCCAAATGAAATTTAGAGACTATCATTTCTGCCTAACATTCATCTAATTTCCCAACACAGTACGTTTATCTCCTAATTACATGTCGTTGTGGAAAGCAGGTTAGATGTTAATGGTTGGATACGAGTCGGTATTTTGATCACTATACAGCATTGTGCAATGGAATATTGTCGCCTCAAAGCTTGGTCAGATGACGATTGGTCAATACAGAACATTTTGTACTCTATAAACATATTATAACGAGATTCGCAGTTATTAAGTAAGCCTTTTTATCACATCATTCACTGCAGTAGAATTTAATCTTTTCATGTCATTTCTCCCACACTGCTGCAATACCGTGTTTAAGAAATGCATTATAAAATAGCTTACAGTAGCA